GACAGAAGCTTAGCTGGTTGGTTTTCAGCCTGTTTAGACAATGTGGACTTGAGGTTATACACTGTAGTCTAAGCATGGCCTTAGCTGTATTCTGCAACTTTTGATACGTATCATGTAATATTTTCATTCTCATTTCATTCAGACTGTTTTAAAATTTCCATTGTGATTTTTTTTGTCCTCCGAAACATCCACTGCGCACCCAGGGAGACCTTCTACCGCAGCCGAAGTGGATGCGCCCTGGGTAGCATAGTCTTCCTCAAACAGGGGACACCTCTGCACCTCTCTATGTTGACTTTACAGTGTGCACGAGTTTTGCCTCCAACATCACTCCGTGGCATGCTTGTTTCACTGGAAAGCTAATGTGCTTATTTTTTCTCCGAGCCTTCTACAAAAAGGACACCTCAGGGAGGGGTCCGATGTGTCTACTCTGGCTCCAGATACCCCACGAGAGCCGGTCTGAGCGGCGCCCTCTAACCCCCCGGCTTATCACCGGGCTTCAAATGATTCCCTTTGAGCAGGGCAGCAGGTTTGTCTCGTGATCAGCAATTCTCTCTTCTTGCTGAGCAATGGCCTCGCCTTAAACTCTTGGCTCTGCTCCGAGGGGGGTTGGAGAGACTAGGTGACACCAAACCCTTCCTGTCCTTGGAGGGACCTGCAGAGTGTCATGCTGAGTGAAATAAGCCAGTCAGAGAAAGCAAGTATCGCATGATCTCACTTATTTGTGCAATATAACGAACAAAGTAAGCGGATGGACAAACTAGGCCCAGAGACACAGAAGCAGGGTTCAGACTGACAAACCTCAGAGGAGAGGGTTGGGGGAGGGAAGAGATAAACCACAGGACTTATATGCATGTATGCGTAACCATGGACATGGACAATGCTGGGGCGGGGGGGGGATGGGAGGAGAGGGCCAATGAGGGCAAAAGGAGAAACATCTGTAACAAAAATAAATCAATTAACAAAAATAATAACAAAAATAAATAAATAAATAAAAACCTTCATGTCTTGCCCTGGCTGATTTGGCTCCGTGGTCAGAGCGTCAGCCTGTGGACAAAGGGCTTCAGTTTCTGGTCAAGGGCATGTACCTGGGTTGCAGGTTCAATCCCTGGCTCAGGGCCGTGCAGGAAGCACGTTTTTCTCTCTCTCTCCGTCCCTTAAAAAAATCAATGAGAAAACATGCTCGGGTGAGGATTAACAAAAACCAAACAAACAACGAGAAAACCCTTAATGTCCTGGCCCTATTCCAACAGGCCAGGTTCCAGAAGTCGGAAGGAGTTGGCTTTGTCCTCCACTCCCTCTTCTTACTTTGTTTCGGTTTCTTTTGGCCAAGCTCGTAGGGAAGGGGGTCTAAAACACACTGGCCTTGACTACATGGTTTTGTAAAAATGGCATCTCTGAATCCAGTTGATGTTGAAGTGAGGGAATTCAGAAAGCAGCTAGTTCCCTGTAATAACTGCCACCTCCCCGTGACAGCTGGACAGTCGCAGCAACAGGGAGGAGTCAAAGTATAACCTGTGAAAAATGGCTAGACGGACACTCTCGCTGGTGTCCGTTAGGAAAGTGCTCCAAGGTCACCCGCAGTCTCTCCACCCCTCCTCCTAGGAGGCCGGCTCTCGGAAGCCACACCATCTTGGTCCAGATCCTAGGTCTGCACCTTATTAGCTGAGGATGAAACGGAGCAGCAACAACGCTAACTGCCGCGATGGCGCCGCCACCCTGGGGTGGGGTGAAGGTGTCAATGCCTGACCCTGGCGTGGGGTGAAGGTGTCAATGCCTGACCCTGGCGTGGGGTGAAGGAGTAAATGCCTGACCCTGGCGTGGGGTGAAGGTGTCATGCCTGACCCTGGCGTGGGGGGAGGTGTCAATGCCTGAACCTGGCGTGGGGGGAGGTGTCAATGCCTGACCCTGGCGTGGGGGGAGGTGTCATGCCTGACCCTGGCGTGGGGGGAAGGTTGTCAATGCTGACCCTGGCGTGGGGTGAAGGTGTCAATGCCTGACCCTGGCGTGGGGTGAAGGGTGCAATGTCTGACCCTGGCGTGGGGTGAAGGTGTCAAGCCTGACCCTGGCGTGGTGTGAAGGTGTCAATGCCTGACCCTGGCGTGGGGTAAGGTGTCAATGCCTGACCCTGGCGTGGGAGGGAGGTGCAGGCCTGACCCTGGCGTGGGGGGAGTGTCAATGCCTGACCCTGGCGTTGGTGGAAGGTGTCAATGCCTGACCCTGGCGTGGGGGAGGTGTCAATGCCTGACCCTGGCGTGGGGGGAGGTGTCAATGCCTGACCCTGGCGTGGGGGGAGGTGTCAATGCCTGACCCTGGCGTGGGGGGAGGTGTCAATGCCTGACCCTGGCGTGGGGTGAAGGTGTCAATGCCTGACCCTGGCGTGGGGGGAGGTGTCAATGCCTGACCCTGGCGTGGGGGGAGGTGTCAATGCCTGACCCTGGCGTGGAGTGAAGGTGTCAATGCCTGACCCTGGCGTGGGGTGAAGGTGTCAATGCCTGACCCTGGCGTGGGGGGAGGTGTCAATGCCTGACCCTGGCGTGGGGGAGGTGCAATGCCTGACCCTGGCGTGGGGTGAAGGTGTAAATGCCTGACCCTGGCGTGGGGTGAAGGTGTAAATGCCTGACCCTGGCGTGGGGGGAGGTGTAAATGCCTGACCCTGGCGTGGGGTGAAGGGTAAATGCCTGACCCTGGCGTGGGGGGAGGTGTCAATGCCTGACCCTGGCGTGGGGTGAAGGTGTAAATGCCTGACCCTGGCGTGGGGTGAAGGTGTAAATGCCTGACCTGGCGTGGGGTGAAGGGTTCAATTGCCTGACCCTGGCGTGGGGGGAGGTGTCAATGCCTGACCCTGGCGTGGGGGGAGGTGTCAATGCCGGACCTGGCGTGGGGCGAGGTGTCAATGCCTGACCCTGGCCGTGGGGTGAAGGTGTCAATGCCTGACCCCTGGCGTGGGTGAAGGTGTCAATGCCTGACCCTGGCGTGGGGTGAAGGTGTCAATGCCTGACCCTGGCGGGGGGTGAAGGTGTCAATGCCTGACCCTGGCGTGAGTGAAGGTGTCAATGCCGTACCCTGGCGTGGGGGGATTCGGTGTCAATGCCTGACCCTGGCGTGGGGGAGGTCAAGCCTGACCCTGGCGTGGAGGGGAGGTGTCAATGCCTGACCCTGGCGTGGGGGGAGGTGTCAATGCCTGACCCTGGCGTGGGGGGAGGTGTCAATGCCTGACCCTGGCGTGGGGGGAGGTGTCAATGCCTGACCCTGGCGTGGGGTGAAGGTGTCAATGCCTGACCCTGGCGTGGGGGGAGGTGTCAATGCCTGACCCTGGCGTGGGGGGAGGTGTCAATGCCTGACCCTGGCGTGGAGTGAAGGTGTCAATGCCTGACCCTGGCGTGGGGTGAAGGTGTCAATGCCTGACCCTGGCGTGGGGGGAGGTGTCAATGCCTGACCCTGGCGTGGGGGGAGGTGTCAATGCCTGACCCTGGCGTGGGGTGAAGGTGTAAATGCCTGACCCTGGCGTGGGGTGAAGGTGTAAATGCCTGACCCTGGCGTGGGGGGAGGTGTAAATGCCTGACCCTGGCGTGGGGTGAAGGGTAAATGCCTGACCCTGGCGTGGGGGGAGGTGTCAATGCCTGACCCTGGCGTGGGGTGAAGGTGTAAATGCCTGACCCTGGCGTGGGGTGAAGGTGTAAATGCCTGACCCTGGCGTGGGGTGAAGGTGTCAATGCCTGACCCTGGCGTGGGGTGAAGGAGTAAATGCCTGACCCTGGCGTGGGGGGAGGTGTCAATGCCTGACCCTGGCGTGGGGTGAAGGTGTCAATGCCTGACCCTGGCGTGGGGTGAAGGGTAAATGCCTGACCCTGGCGTGGGGGGAGGTGTCAATGCCTGACCCTGGCGTGGGGTGAAGGGTAAATGCCTGACCCTGGCGTGGGGGGAGGTGTCAATGCCTGACCCTGGCGTGGGGTGAAGGTGTCAATGCCTGACCCTGGCGTGGGGTGAAGGGTAAATGCCTGACCCTGGCGTGGGGGGAGGTGTCAATGCCTGACCCTGGCGTGGGGTGAAGGTGTCAATGCCTGACCCTGGCGTGGGGTGAAGGTGTAAATGCATGAGTGTGCCCGGTGCTTCTCTCAGACAGCAGTTCACCTGTGCCGAGGTACCCCAGGGAGGTCATGACTCAGTCCCTCCGCCAGAGGAGAGGAAGCGCTCTGACAGTCAGGCAGATTGTTGGGGTGTGGCCCCAGATTTGTTCGCCCCTCTGAGACACGTCCTTGAGACACTGATCCTGCACCTGGCCATGGGACTCGCCTTGGCCATCGGGACGTTAGCAAACGTGTCGTCAGCAGAGAGTGGACAAGAGCTCGCCCGTGGGGACTCGCCCCTGGGGACCCCGAGGACTCCCTGGGACGGAGCCTGGCCAGCCGACCAGAGGCCGAGGCACGCGCCGGCCCTGCCGGACCCCTAAGGCCGTCTCGCCATCCGAGCCCACCGGCCGCCGGCCTGCCGCGGAGCACCGACCGCAGAGCGCGCCCGGCGGGGAGGAGCAGAGCCGCCCTGCCGACCCACAGAGCAGAAGCTCAGCAAGGGGTTAGTGCTTGCACCGTTCCGTCTTGGGGTTGTTTTTTTAAATATGTTTTTATTGATTTTTCAGAGAGAGGAAGGGAGAGAGAGAGATGGAAACATCGATCGGCTGCCTCCTGCACGCCCCCCACTGGGGATGGAGCCTGCAACCTGGGCATGTGTCCCGACTGGGAATTAAACAGGGACCTCCCAGTCCACGGGATGGCGCCCAATCCACTGAGCCACACGGGTGGGCTTGGGCTGCTTTTCATGCACTAAAACCTAAGTAATACAGACGGACCGGGTAATGAAACGAACTTAGGTAAGCGGCAGAACCCAGGCACTCTGAACCCACTAGCCACCTACGTCACATGTCTCGGAGCCTCGGAGTCCGCACGGGAAACAGCAACACCCCCTGGGAACGGTCACTGCCCCTCCCGGCCTCGGCGTCTCACCTCCATCCACGCCCATGACGAACCGGCCCACGATGAGCATCTCCAAGGCGCCTGCCTGCAGGGAACAGGCCATCAGCAGCGCGGCGGAAATCGCGAACACGTTGTTGACCAGTAAAGTGTGCTTCCTGGGGGAAAGGAGGGGTTCAGACTTGACGTGGGGTGGTGGACACACAACGCAGTATACAGGTGATGTATTATAGAACCGGACACTTGAAACCTATATGGTTTTCTTACCCGATGTCACCCCAATAAATTCAATAAATAAATACCTTTAAAAAGAAAAGGAAGGGCTCGATGAGGGGGCCTGACCATGAGGCCGTCCCTGGCCTGTCCCTCCAGGAGCAGGGTCCCCACGGCCCCCCTCAGCCACCACTGGCTGTGTGGTCCTGAGCAAGTCTCACTCCTGCTCGGTTCACTGCTGGGCTGGCCATCACCTGACTCACTCTGCCAGGACCATCAGCCCTGTTTCAGGGACACATCCCTAAACCTCACGGTTTAGAAGCGTGACCCGTGTGGGGACCTGGGGGTCTGGTTCCTGCACCTGCTCTCTCTATGAGCTAGGGGACTGTGTCCTTTATCGCTCCATTTTCCTTCCTCACCCGCAAGATGATCGGGAGAGTTCACGTCGATTCCTGCTGCGACAGACCTCATTGTAAGCTCCTTACACGAGTAGCTTTTCTACTGCTCAAAATGACCTGTCGGTGGGTATCCTTACTCCTAATTTACAGAGAAGTCACCCAGGACACAGACCCATTAGAAACTTGTTTGAGGTCATACAACCAGGGAGTCAAGGGGCTGGGGAAACGGCTCAGCCTCTCGCAGGGTAGTTCTTTTCCCCTAAAGATTCAATGAATAGCCCTGGCCGGTTTGGCTCAGCGGTTGGAGCGTCCGCCTGCGGTCCGGAGAGACCCGGGTTCGGTTCCCGCTAAGGGCATGTACCTCGGTTGCGGTTTGTCCCCGACCCTGGTTGGTCATGCGGGTGGCAGCCACTCGATGTGTCCCTTCACGTTGATGTTTCTCTCTCTCTCTCTTCCTCTCTCTCCCTCCCACTCTATCTGTACAAAAAATGGAAAAATGTCCTCGGGTGAGGATTAAAAAAAAAAAAAAAAGATTCAATGAATTAACAGATATTACGCTGTTGTATAAATTATAGGGATTTGACAGGGGATGTTGGCATTGCTTTTCAGAGTTAGCTCTCTTCAGGCCAGATCTCTTTTTACTGTTTCTGGCTTATCTCAAACTATGCACTCATTTCTTTCCCCATCCTACATCTTGGAGAATCTTGACGTTAACGACCTATGTTCCAAGACTGCTCACTGCTACATCCTCTGTAATAGCCCATGATGGGGACAACCTGAATGTCCACAAACAAGGACCTGTTTAAAGAAACCGGGAAACATCTATCCAGTGGCACCTTTTGTGGACATTGAATCAGAGATAACTTGCTACATTCTCATACGGGAGGATTTCCAAGATAAACCGTTCAGTGCAAAGAGCGAGATACTGCACTTTGTGTAGAATATGAGACAATCTGCATGATAAAGGTGTGTGCACGTGTGTGCGTGTGTGCGTGTGTGCGCAGAGATAGGCACAACCTTGAAAAAGACACAGAAACACCAATAACACCGGCGGCCTCCAGAGAGGCGCTCTGAGTGGATGGAGGACAGGAAGGTAAAGGGAACTTTTTACTTTACATTCATGTGTTCCTTTGGGTAGTTAAGCCCCACTAATGTATTCATTATTCAAAAAAAAAAAGACAATCTCACTTTAAAAAAAATTGATTTAAGTGGACCTCCTGATGGGAAAAAGATAGGAATTAGCAGAGGCTTAAAAGGCCCAGTGTCCAGTAACCGCCCTCACTGTGATGCTGAAGGGCACAGACAGGTACTGATTTCTGTGGCTGGTGAAAACTCACAGCACAGTGAGAATACCCTGCACCCTCAGGGCCCTGCTCCATGTTCAAGGTCAGCCCTGCCCTACGTCCTCCAAGGAACCGACCTGTCGGCCTTAAGAAGAAAGCAGAGCAAGAGTTGGGGGAGTGGTGGGCAGACCCGGACCCTCACGGGAGGAGCTGTCACCCGTGTGTCCACTCAGCACGTATTCAGCAAGCGCTGGACACCGGTCACTGCCTGGAATGTGAGAGCCGTCCCTGTCCTCACCCTCACGGGCTTTGCAACCTAGTTAGGGACACAGACGTCAGATAAATCACCACACACAAGTCCATTAGTGACATTGGTGGCCCCTGGAAGTAAAAATGTAGAAGCCATGCAAGTGTAACTGGAAACTGTGCCTGTCACATGCCTGCTGGTCCCCGAATCCCTTCCTTCTCTGCATCTGCTTGGTTTCAAAGGGAACTACATTTCCCAGCCTCCCTTGCTTCCTGGCTTCCTGGCAGGACTGGCCAATGAGATGGCGGCAGGTGTGTCTCCTTGGTGGTCCCAGCCTTCTCCCTGTGGTCCCAGCAACCTGCCTCTCCCCTTTGACCTTCCCTCCCAAGCCTGGCCAAGGCTTGCCTGTCAAAGAATGATTTCTCCCAAGTCAAAATACTCCCCCTGCGGCTGCATCGTGGGTCCTAGCTCTACCCCGAAGGCCTCACAGGACGACTCCCCGTGGGTGTAGGCAGTCTCGTGTGAGATACATTTGGGAAGAGGCTGTCGCGACAGGTGAGGTAGAAGAGGGAAACGGGGGTCAGACTAGAGCGTTCTTGGAGGTTGGACAGGACAACGTGATCTATAACCTGTAGACAGTGAGAAATGAAGGGGTTGATTGGAAACCGGACCTTGCCCTGGCCAGTGTGGCTCAGTGATCAGAGCGTTGGCCCATGCACTGAAGGGTTGTGGGTTTGATTCCCGGTCAAGGGCACACACCTGGGTTGCAGGTTCGATCCCTGGCCCTGGCTGGGGCCCATGAAGGAGGCAACTAATCAATGTGTCTTTCTCACATTGACTTCTCTCTCTCTCTCTCTCTCTCTCTCTCCTCTCTCTCTCTCTGTCTCTCTCTCTCTCTCTCTCCCTCCCTCCCTCCCTCCCTTCCACCCTCCCTTCCGCTCTCTCTAAAAATCAATGGAAAAAATGTCCTTGGGTGAGGATTAGCAAAAAAACCCAAAACAAACAAACACAAAGAAACCAGACCTCGACTCCTACTGCCTTAGACTTGGCCCACTGCCCTGCTACAGTTGCACACTTGATACAAGGATGATACGCATGATGATCACAAAAAGGATGCTAGCATCCCTTACTGGTTCTCCAGCTGGCTGCTCCACAGAGTCACCAAGAGCTCATAAGAAGAGAGATTCTAGGGTCCACCCCCAGAGAATCTCCATCCCGGGCGCGGACTCGGTGAGAGACCCTCAGTGGAGTGCTGGAAAGAGCTTGGCTTTACCTGAGTCATCTCACGTCACGTCACTTCCTCTTTGACACCTACAGCCCGTGGCGGTGAAGTCTTCAAGTCACAGAGGGGAAGGTGAGGAACACCTCGTTCCCCTACCACTAAACTCACTGCCGGCCTGCATCTGGGTGGAACAACCCTCTGCTGTAAGGTGTCCCTTGGGCGCTGGCTGTCCCCTAGCTTGGTCAAGAACTCGTTGCTCCTCTGTCCCAGCATTCTCACCTGCGCATCTCCCCTGCGCATCTCCCCTGCGCATCTCACCTGGCTCTTGGCCTCTTCCCCCATGGCCACTGCTCCTTGCCCTGCAGGGCAGCCCAGGACAGCCCAGGACAGCCCAGGGCAGCCTGGGTGCCCTGTGAGTGAGGTGGGCAGACACCGGGAGTTCAGAGCGGGGACTGCGGGGCCTGACCTACATTCCACACGACCGCTCGGTCTCCTGTGTTGGCCGCGGATGTAGGGGTGAGTGTGGAGACGGAGAGGCCAACAGAGGGGCTGCTGGAGGAGATCAAGCACGTGCCGAGAGGGTCTGGACCCCGACGGCAGCAGTGGGGGAAGGAGAAGCGCCCAGGTCCGGGCACATTTTGAAGGCGGAGCTGATGGGGTGTACGGATGGACTGGACGGAGGTGGAGAGAAAGGGAGGAGCCGAGGAGGCCGCCGAGGATTCTGAGCTCCTGCGCTGGGTTCAGTGATGTTTCGTGCTGTGCGGGGCTGTTCACTCGAGTCCGACTTGAAACATTCACACGCAGGGCTGCCCACCTTTGAAGCAAGCTCGTCCTGTTCCTTTATTCCTTCCCAAATGAGCTCCTAGCCTGGCAGTGTCCTGGTGAGAATGGAAACTTCATCTGCAAGTAATTCCCAAAGCTGACTCCGGGTTCAGAGATGGGGGTTTTTCATCGTTGTGCTTCTATTGTTTCCTGGGGATGAACATGGCAACGGGAACAAGAGGGAGGGCGTCGCGTCGGTTCCGAGAGCAGAACGCCGGCGCACCCTTGGAACTCCACCCGGGCACCTGGGTCATTGTTTTGAGCTTCTCTGGGGGTGTAGACTCTTCCCTGTGCGACCCAGAAGATCGCCCGCTCTCGGCAGGAGGACCGAATACAAGGAGGCGTGATAGGGTGATGAGGAGAGTGGAGACCAAGTCCCTTGAGAAATGGTCAAAGGGACAGGGGGCAGTTGGCTCGCACCAGGAAAGGCTCGGGGAACGTGTGAGAGCTGCCTTCCACTATTCCTCACTTCAACGTGACACTCGGGACCCGGAGCAAGTGATGGCAGCAACAGAGAGACTATCCCAGGCTGATTTAGAAAGGACCGTTCCTGAGGCCCTAGTGAAATGGGGAACCTCTGAAGATACTGGCCCCCTGCCTACCCTTCCGACAATCCCGAAGCCTGACCAAGCCCCGAGCCCAGGAGCCGACACGCTGCCTTGTTTCTACTAGCTGTCACCCTCCCGTGCTGTCCATCCTGCGCAGCCAGCTTGAATGACGAAGTCCATCATTCCAAACACTCATACACCCCAACTCCTTGGCTCACTGGACCCCCCCTTTATTATATGTTCTTGGCAAAATCCCAGCCCTGGGTGGGGGCCGACCTCACGTGTGCACTGCAATGCACACCTGGAGGAAACAACTCTGTTGTGGGTCTCACCTGAAATCCACGCCCAGGAGTCGCAGGTGGTCTTTAGAGCCCTCGGCCACCGTTCTTAAGTCTCCTGGCTCCCTGGGTCTCCTGCGCTCCTGG